CCGATATTTGTTTATCTTCCTTTATTATCTAAATAGGATGTTATGAAACGGTCGGACGTCATCGTGTAAGGGAAATTGTATAGACAAGTGCGTCATCACGCCTCCGAAATGATGCCTATGACATCTACATTGGGTGCCTTCAAACGTTATTATGTAAGAATACGTTATGCAGTCGCAATGACACAATTAGTACGCACTGTAAATACATTCGTATTCATTAAAATAGCATCACTTGATGCCACAAGCACACGAATTCTAAATAATTTTCACCATTATCAAGACTTCAGTCACCGAGTCGTGCCTTTCTTTTTCTTAATGACAGACCTTCAAAGGTCACATACAAACACACACCTCCTAACATATTACAATTAATTTCACCTTTGCTATTTGATATTTGATAATATATAAACTTTGTTTTATTTCACCAATCCAATCCTAAAAGAATAGTGTAAGCCACCCTGGTGGTAGCTATCAGCACCTAAATGGGGGCTTGGCTAGCACCAGCCCCCATTTAGGGTACCTACTACTGTTAAATGTCAATAACAAAAACATGTATTAGTCGACTAATATCGCAAAGATTTATCATACTAACGTGTTTTGCCACGATACCGAGAATAGGAGAGGATTCTAAGGACTTATTCACTGAGAAAAATATTTTACCTTTTACATGTGTAGGTTTATTATATAGTAAAACGACTGAAGCGGCCTATTTTCAGCAATGAACTTTGCACGAACAAAAGGACGACAGTGTGGGCTCAATGAGATTTGATTTCTCCATTGAAGTTTAAGAAAATATACCATCAATATGTGGGCACCATATAAATGGAATGACGACATCAATGTAGGTGTCATATACGTAAAACTTACATAAGATAAATGTAAAATGAATTATTCCGGGAATTCAGAACTCACGTCAAATAATGACGACACACACATGCACAGATACGTACGTGTTAATGCCGTATTCTATTTGGAGAACAATAAAGAAATAGAGCGCCCGCGATACGATATTGAACTGTAGAATCCGTTAATCTTTGGATTTTTGTGATAGAAAAGATTTACAATGAAATAAAGAACTTGTAAAACATTTCACTTGGGTTTCAATTTTGATTTAATTCCTATTAATATTGTACATGCGAATGTTTGTATGTTTGTTTGTTTGTCTGTTTGTTTTTCCTTTACCTCAAAACGGCTAAAGGGATCGGCATAAAATAAGGAAGAGGGGTGGATTATGGTCTGTAACTAACTTTTTATCCCACGGGAACGTAGGCGGACCCACTAACTGAAGATAATACATTATAAACGTTTCTAACTCTTGGTACTATACCAGATTTGATTTGCAATGATAAAGGGTAATTTTTTGATTTCCGAAGGAGTTTGCACGAAGAATTGTATTGTGAACCTGATTGAAGAAGAGTAACCTATGGAGTTTCTTGCTCGTTCTTCTCCATAGGAATCTACACTTTGGAACAAACAAATAGCTTCACTAGAGGACTGACCTACAGACTGACATTTTTCTTTAATATTTAAATATTATGTTTTGACATTCAAAAGTGCCTTCTTGGTCTAATTGAAATAAATAATTTTGACTTTGACTTTGCACTTTTAATTTACGACCTGAGAATTGAACTCATAACTCATCCAACATACAACCGCATTTTAGACAACTTTAAAAACCTTCAATTAATTCATTTATATGGTATAGGGCGGCAGAGAGATCACCAGATGCGAAACAATTAGCGACAGAATCCACATTTCTTATATCAAGAAATCACAAAATACTACAAATACTGTAGATATTTCTCGTTCCTTTTTACTACCCACACTGTTAGTAACCCGACCGAATTTCTTTTTTAAAGGTCTCATTTAATGGGGCTTATTAACACATAATAATTATGTATCACCAATTATCTTAAGGTCAAAAGTTTACTCTTTCAGCCAATTTCAGGCAACGTGACCTTATTTTTAGTCTCTCCTTAGTATAGGTATGTGAAATTCAACTAATACCAACATTATTCATTTTAGTACCTGAAAAGAAAGAAACAGTTTCACAGAATAATAATAAATTAAACTGTCAAACACCAAGCGGTCACCGGTGACCGCAACCTATTGTTCTTTAATTGTGTCTATAATGACGGTGCTCGACGAGTTAATGTAACACTTGCTTTTCAGCAGATAAGTATGGGAGAACCATGCTTCGGCACGAATAGGCTCACAGAAAACCGACGTGAAGCAACGCTTGCGTAGTGTTTCGTCGTGTAAGTGAAGTTACCGGAGGCCCAATTACCCTCTATGTTATTACTCCTCTATCTCCTCAATCCCCCGAATCCGAATCCTGAATCCCCAATAATCCTCAAATTCCTAATCCCCAAAAATCCGGTAACGCACTTGTAACCTTTGGTGTTTCAGGTGTCCATGGGCGGCACCGATTGCTTACCATCAGGTGATACGTATTCTCGTATTACCGAATTATTCTATAAAAAAAGTTACGAATCCTATGTAACAGGGAATACCAGACTATGTACTACTACTGTGAATTATTGGAAACAAAAGTTTCAATAATATTTCGTCTGATCTAGAAACAGTTATTTATGCCACGACTAAACCAATGAATCGATATCTCCCGGCATATAGTATGTAGGTAGACTGACATTAATCTAATTTTTCAAGCATAAAGTATTAATTTAATTCTGACGAACCGTTACAATGTCATTAAAATAAAAACACTAACAGCTATTGTTTATAATAAGCAGCCTTTGGGCTATTGTTTCTCAACGTGATGCAGGTCGCTGTGAGTGCGTTGTGGCGTAACATAGTTCGTAGGCGCCGGATGTGCGAAGGCTGGTCTAAGGTACTATGGCCCTACATTTGCATCATTCCCTGACGCCCCTGCACCACTGATAAGGGCGTGGTGTTACAACATCAGACGATGAAGCAATTTCAACTAGCCGAGGAATGTGGGAAGTCTAAAGTTGAGAAGGTGATCTGCATTTTGTAATGTTACGGTTGCAAACTCTATGTTTTGAATAGAATACCTACATTTTTCTTTCAGATAAAATGTATTTATTAATATTATCTATACACGCGCAGATACAAAAACATTTCTGGTCATAATTAAGTCGGAAATCGGAATGCCTACAATAAAATCAATTCAGTAAATATTCCTATTCAACATTTTCCTATTTCACACACATAGTCACTCGAATCGACAACGAAAAAAGAAAAAACTTTTAAGTTCAAAGGGCAACACAAAACTTGAATGAAGCGGGATCGCGGTTAATCGAATTTTGCATGAATTATAAATTCATGACAAGGAACCCCTAACGAATAACGATTTGTCCACCCACGCGTCGAGTGGGCGTGTGCACCTCCACAAAATTACAGGTTTGATGACGGTCGAGCTGATAAATGTCATAACAAGATACATGTAACTCTCCAAAGGGCTGGTTGCTAAATTCTGGCAGCTGTCCGGAGCAGGAAACGTAAGAGGGCGCGGCGCGGCCCACGCGGCCTCTCCCACACCGTGCACCCTGACATTTTCCCGAAGGGTAGAGGATCAACAAGTGGTATCCATGGAAACGCACAAACGTTTCATGACCTTTCCTTATTTTAGGGATTCATATTAATCTATAGTATCAACCAGTGCGTATGTGGGTTATGTTATTTATATGGTATTTATGCACCCACACCTTAATAAATATCTACAAGATTAAATTAATTCCACAATTTTGTAAGTCTGCTCTAGAAAATCACATCAAAGAAGTTTTCCAGGAGTTCTGTATTATTAAATAAGTTAAATCATTTGTATATTTCAAGTTCAAGTATAGATTAACATTAATCGTTTCTACTACCTACATTCTTTCTCCCTTAAGGAAACCTAAAATCAAACATTAAATATAATTGCAAACATCTACCAAGTTTTCAGATATACTTAGGCACCATCCTAGAATTTAATTGGGTTGGTAGATAAGTTGAATGCCAAATTGTCTGATTAACTCATTTCCTGCGTACGACTAATTTTAAAAGATCTACGTGATCAGTGTACATACGTCAAATACCAAAAAATCTAAAATAGCATATGGAGTAACGGTTTAGGTATCATTACGTAGCCATGGCTATGACCAGTTACGTATTTTTAGAAGAAGCCAATGATTTATCCGAACTACGTAACGTCCGAACTATTCGGGCCGGTCTATCGACGTCACGGGTGCGCGCGTGCCATCCAGCTAATTGTAGCATATCCAAAACGGTCTCCGGGATCCGTCACCCGGCGGCAGCGCACAGCGTAGCGTCCGAAAGCGGATCGTGAGTCAACGCCAGAGAAAGTGGCGAGTGGAAAGAGTGCGCCGAGGCAGCAGGGTGGCCGGCGTGAGCGTGACGTGACGCGAGGAGCTGCGGCGAGCCTCCGCACCCACGCTGCATGGCCGCGCTCGCGCCGCCCGCCATCACTACACTTGTGCGGCCCGCGCTTTTCGCGCGCCTTCCTTTGCCGTCGCGACGCCGCGCCATTTTCTCGCGCACGTGGGCGACGCCGGCGGCCGAGCGAGGACGCCCGGCTCGAACGCCATTAACGCGACCGTCGTGAATGAACGCCGACCTCGACCGGGTGGCTGGCGTCCATTGATAGGGCGCGCGGCGGACGACGACCGCGGCGCTCACGGGGGCGGCGTATGCACGCCCTCGCCGCTCCGCCTGTGCCTCAGTCGAGGATGTGGCGTTCTCGGCGCGACGACACAGTCCGCGTGCGAAACCTGTGTTCATTTATCAGTAGATGTTCGTGACCCTTCAGTGTGATTAATGTGCCGTGTTTATGTAGTTTCCTAAACGTAATGTGCTGTGATCACGTCAATTTTGATAGGACATTAAGTTAGTTTTAATAGGATAGTGTAGTGGCGTACGCGCCGGTGCAGCGTCGCTCGCAAAAGGGTTGAATGTGAGTGCAGGTGCGGTGTTGCGCACGAGGTGGTGTGGATTGTGCAGTGCGGGAATGCGCTCGTGCGATGCTCTCGGTGATCGCGATGCGTCGGCCGGAGGACGAGGAGCTGGGAGGCCGCGGCGACGGCGACGAGTTCGTGGACATCTCACAGATGCAGTTGTTGGTCGAGGCGGGCCCGAGCGGGCTGCACTACGGAGGCCCGCCGCCGCCGCACGCGCAGCCGCAGCCCTACGCGCAGCCGCCCGCGCACCCCGCTACCACCACCGCGTCCGTCGACGACCTGTTCGCACTCTATTTTACACCCACTTCACATGGTAAGCTAGACTTTTCGTCCTTTTGTTACTCCTTGTAGCATGATATCACCTACAAGAAAGCCGACACTGATATGCAAAACCGGTTTCTCTTACATTTACATAAATCGTCATCATCATGGAAACGGTTATAGATTGTGGTTTGATGCTGACAATATTGCAAAAATATAGATTTAAATTCTACCTATCTATTTATTATTTTATGAAACTTAAATAAAAACAACACTGCAATATCTTCTTTAAACTATTCAATTAGTTACAAATCTGTTTACTAACAAAAAGTTATGAAAACCATTTAAAAGTTATTACTGTCATGGTAAACAATAATCTTGCGCCACACGTTACAATCAGCTGTTTTACTCCACAAACTTTACAACCTTACAGTAGTACCTAAGTACAACAGAAAGTTTAATGTTAAATCCGGGTCAATGATCTTGAGATTTATTGTTTTCATTTGACTTCACGTAGTAAATAACAAACAGTATAATATTGTAAACAAATTAATGTTCTTAAGAACATCTATGTGCAAAAGACATACTAAATACGTATACCTGCACATTACACATATCTGTATATTAATTTGTATTCTTTATTAAAACCTGCCCCATGACTATCTGACACTGGGTATTATCAACGGAACAATTCAATAATTATTTTCGTCGAATTGAAATAATGAATGAACGTTCGATCTACCATCGATATGACGTGGATTGTGAACACGCATCCATGACGTACATAGAAATGTAAAATATTAATTTCTACATTACCTATGTATTGATATCGTACGTACTAATCTCAGTTACAAAGGACAGGTAATGTAAAAACTCTTTTTTAATATACCTCTATAGAACAAAAATATAATAGTTAATTGTGTAGAATGAAAACCAAAATTTTAATTTTAATTACAACGAAATTGAAAGTGACAACCTCTTTTTAAGTCGATTTCATGAAAATGATTTAAGTACCTGTTTACACTAATTATTCTACACTATATGTTCCAAAACAAAAATGTTTGAATAAAAATTCTAGGTGAACAAACGCTCATTAAAGTAGGTTTGCGATTAGCTACTGGTAACATCCAATTGACCCCTACTGACCCCACCGCTTGTTGGTCGTCTAAATACTTCAATGATGTATCTTGACATACAGGTACATACATACTTGTAACTTTATTCGATGACAGTTTTGTTAAGAGAAGTTACTACTATTTTGTGAAAGATATCTACAAAAGTTAGTTGAGAAAAGAAATGTTTTAAACTGTCAAACACCAAGCGGTCACCGGTGACCGCGACCTATTGTTCTTTAATTGTGTCTATAAAACCGGTACTCGACGAGTTAATTAGACTTAGTTATATTATGAATATCTAAGTTCATGCTTTTTAGGTTAACTTAATTCTTATGAGTTAATTAAAAATACTTAGTATAAGAATCAGTGTATCCAAATCGGATTATTAAAGTGCAACCTGAAACTTATTTTTGGGAGGTCTATGAAACAATGAACATTGTCATGAATACAACCATGAATCATTTCAAAACTTATTGATACTTGATAAATTGAATTTAGGAAAACATTCCAATATATTTTCTACATAAAAATGAAAAGGTACATTTTACATTATTACATAGAAAACCCCTTTAAACTATTCAAACAGACAACCTATCAAAGACCACGAACACAAGTACCTACCTAACTTAAATTGTCACGATTTATGCTAAACAGCTAAATCATATGATAAGACTATCAATACAATGATCTTGCAGTCACTTAAGTACGCAGTATGCACAGGGACATTGTATGGAGTTATTTCGTAAACGTCAGCTTCTCCGGCTCGGAATAATTCGGATCAGCGTTCCGGCACGCTGTTATCTGGACCGGACGGCGCTAATCGGCTGCGTCTGCGCAACCAACGCTATCATGTTCACCCAACTAACCATAAACAATATACTGTCAAATTGTTACTATTTAATTGTATGTGCGAACTTGTCTTTGAAATTGTATAGCTTATTGAGATGTATGTATTTACTAATAGACACTAAAAAGATAGAAAATATAATCTTAAACGTCATCACAATTAGTCGTGTTCAGGCAGTACTTTCATAAAATTTCATAAATGAACTGTAATATATGTAAACAACCTTTTAACATTGTCCTACAGTTTGAATAAAACTAAAATAAAAACAAACTGCCATATTACCACCTAACCTTTGTTATAGAACTACCTTTCGAAATTTTAGTCACATTACAACCAAAACCATTAACTAAATTATACTATAAAAACCCACCCAGAAACCACAAACTGACTTCACAAACCCTTATAAAAAGTAAATAAATAAAATTCAGAAACTGTTTATGTCAACTTTGAAATTCGCAACAGCATACAAATGGCGGGAAGATCCCGCATTGTTTACAACAAACCAGTTTGAACCTAAACTCTTGACGATAAACGGACATAACTGATATAGTAGGTATATCTAGAACACGTTTTCGGAAATCACAACGGAAACATTGTGGTTACAATATTGAGATACAAACTAATTATTTATTAAACTCTACATATATACAGTTTTATTAGATACATACTGGCTGAACCGAGAATCATCGTCCCGCTTAAAAAAAATCTCACCTTTTTAATCTTTCCTGGACTTTCACGAACATTTCAAGACCAAAATTAACCAAATCGGATTAGCCATTTTCGAATTTCAGCAAGACTAACGAACGGAAATTCCTTTTTTATTTATATAGATAGATAGATTAGACGATCTTGTCTAATATCAGCTAATTAATTAACAAATATAATAATCATTTACTTATTTATTTAGAATAAGGAAGATTAATTAATAAGTACATAACATAACTTCACGCCTTTTATCCCCGAAGGGGTAGGCGTTTTTTTTTTTTTTTAAGGGGGGAAAATCTTCGAATGACTGCTCCCACCTGGGTGAGGCGGAAGGGAGTGTCAGACTCTTACTGACTAAAAACCACCCCGTTCCTTCTCCTGCACGTCGAGCCGGAGCCCCGGTTACCCGTTAGGTTCTCCGCGACAAGGGGTAGGCGTAGGTGCACATTATGCCACTGTACAATGTAACACCAACTTTTCACTATTTATGTTATGAGTCCCATGTAATAGGGGGTGTGCCTATTGCCATATACCGGGCACAATTCTAGACTCCATGCTACTACTGAGAATTTTCTAAAAATCCAGTAATACTTTGCTCGACCCGGGAATCAAACCCGAGACCCCTTGCCCGGCAGTCGCACTTGCGACCACTCGGCCAACGAGGCAGTCATTAATAAGTCATCTTTATTTATCATCATCCAATATTTGAACCATTTACTTTACCATGTTCACCTAAACCATCTCTTAACTAAATGTTACTTAGCTGAGGGACCAATTTAGAGGTTGGTCAAAACAAAAATGACATTAAGTGTCCCCTATATACGCATATAGCGTATGGGTTCCTTAAAATGTAAGAGAGCTTGGTGAGACTCTTGCGTAAATATTAAAAACAGAGGTTTTCAATGTTCACTGTACATACTTTAACAATAATTTTGTTGAAAAGACCAAAAAAGAATATTGTATTGAAACACTATATTATGCTTATTTTGTAATTTTCAATACCAAAACTCTCCTCACTCAAAGGACATGCTAAATAATTGGTGATGCTACTTTTGAGCTACGTCAGTAGAAAAGTACAGAGGCCTTAGTACGAGTTTGGTTTACGTTTAAAGTATTCGAAACGAGTACGCGTTCGGCGCTCTGATTGGCCAGCGCCAATGAACCAACCAATCAGAGCGCCGAATGCGTTAAAACAAGCTCGTACTAAGCCCTCTGACAGTTTTTACTATCTAGGTAAGTTACGTCCATATTCGTATAATATAGCTGTTGCCCGCGAATTCGTCCTCGTAGAATACAAATTTGAAGGCATAAACTTTTTTTGTTTCCATTTGCCAAAACAAAAAGTAACCTTATATGTTACTCCTTAGTAAATCACCTAACTGCCAATAAAAGACCCGTCAAAATCGATCTAGCGATTCCAGAGATACGCCAGTATAAACAGACAGACAGACTAAAATTGTTAAAATTGGTATGTGTTTCGTATGTATATTCATATGCACGTACTAAAAAGCGATTATTTTAATATTACAAACAGATACTTACTCCAATTTTATTGATCTGCATCTGCTTTAATTTACTTTAAATGACATAAATGCAATTTTTTCTAGTCGCTTATGAGAATGAATCGTTTTTAAGGATAAAAAACCTTTTGACGAACGAGAACTTTGATTAACTACAAAGTTTTTGGCTTTTGATTACTTTCTGCTTTATATTTATTTCTATAGTTCAGTTAGGTTTAATGGAGTAATAGAAAACAAATACATTTTAAGTAGTGAACTGTACGCTAATTGTAGCAAAATCCGCACATACCTGCTTGTAGTATTTCGGGTATGATGTCGTTGTATCAAAACTGTAGTTCCATTTATTTGAGTATAGATAGACATATTTCAAACGTTTCATTATCTTCAAAATATAATCATAAAGATTTTAGCGAAATCAAAATGACCGTTTGAGTAACTTAGGCTGTTGAATTGCAGTACTATCACCAGAAAGCGTTCTTGGCTGAGCGAAAACACTCTCCAAAATAGAGGTAGAATTAGTATAATCCGTACATTGGTTGTCGAATATATACAGAATCTTGCAGTCCGTTCTTTTGTTATAGTTGCATTTTTAAGACGTATTAACAGTTTATCACCATTCTGTCCGACGTCTTTTGTAGATTTCTATAGTCTTTAAGCTTTTTTCGTTCTAATTGTTAATTTCCAGTTTCCACATCTTAGACCAATCAGTAGTCGCGGAGAACCTAACGGGTAACCGGGGTTCCGGCTCGACGTGCAGGAGAAGGAACGGGGTGGTTTTTAGTCAGTAAGAGTCTGCTCTCCCGCCTCACCCAGGTGGGAGCAGCCATTCGATGATTTTCCCCCCTTAAAAAAAAGACCAATCAGT